GAATTAAACCAACCCACCATATTACAACTGAGAAACTGTTCAAAGCAAAGTTAACTGCTAACTCATTTACTTATTTACTGACTCTCTTCGACTGATCTGGGGCTCCGGTGACCTAAGGTACCGTAATTCAATGGACAGAGTTGCCTCCCTTTGGCGTGCCAGAATCTTATGATTGCCAGTTCAAATCTTAGATCCCTCCTGATGGTGTTTGTATGTTTCCCAGCAGTTATTGATTTACACCAAAGTGGTAATATCTAAGACCTGTATCAGTTTGGCCGTTCTTCCCACGTCAAACAAATACAAGAAATAATGTTCAACGTGGTGTTAAATCAACCTCACTCGCTCACTTAATCCGACATTTGAAAAGACTTACGGTTCATGAGAAGCCTTAACTTATTTCCCTTTCAAATCACATCTCAGCGATTAAGTTAGGACAAGGCTGCTTAACATTTCATCTGAAGGAATGAAACATCTATCGCACACGGTGATACTTTACTGAGACCTCATTTCGAACTGGATTACGTACTGTATTTCAAACAGGTTCCGTTAGGAGCGTGATTAAGTGACTGGAGGAAACCAATTACTTGAGACTTCAATCCCCACTCCTAACCACGGAAGAGTGAAATAAGGTGTCTTGAATTATCTGTGATTGAGCTACTTAACCTCCCTGCCTGTCACCCAGTTATCTGTCCGTCAGGAAATAACCCACCGGTTCCGGCAACTGCAATGTCCCAAATGGTCTCTCCATCGCTAACTGCTCAGTGCAAGAATGGACTCATTTGTTATAACTGTCCATATTACGGCAAACAGTTGTCGTTCCTGAAGGTAAAGTGTTTGATCAAATTACATTAAACAATATCGGCCCCGTCATCCATTCCTTTAAGTGTGTTTTTTGTATGTCTGATTCTTTGTACATGCGCAATACGTATGACCTTGGCTATCACACCCCACTCTTGGCCATCATCACTTATTGGAATACTTGTGTGGTCGTCACACCATCACATATAGATGTCTACTGACAAATCCTTAAACTTTGTTCATCTTCATATTCAGCATCAGCATTGTCTGAATTATTATTGAGCTGTTGAAGTCGTTATAGACTAACATCTAGTCTCTGAAATAAACATAGTTTTGCAGAAAAACAGTTCCTAATTTATTATCATAAAACATAAAATAGGAGCCAAGGAACGTTCTTCATTTTCGGAAATCTAGACTTGCCGCATATTCTAGACTTGCGTGGGCTTTCTTAGATACAGTTGTTTCATTTTTGTCATTATTGCTCGGATCATAGCCGCACACCTCGGTTTCATCACGATATAAGAATATATAAGAATAATGGCGGTAAGCCTAGCTATTGCCCTCGGACCTTTAAAAACTACACTTCAGGCGTCAAATATCCGTAGCAAAACACGCAAACAGACACACATAGAGGGAGACAGACAGACACAAACACACACACACACACACACACACACACACAGATACACCATAAAATCATTATAAATTGAAACATTTTGAAAACTGATTTTGAAAAATGTTTCGGATATAATTTCAGGTAGCTGTCGCTGTTATCGGTATCAAAGTTGAAAGACTATTTTTACTACGCAAAGATAGTTGATCCACGCTGGAAAAAAATGTTATCGTAGCATCAGCGGTGCAAGATAAATCACATCCCACGTTGGCTTCAAAGTTGGAACAACAGCTGTCAAGACCGACTACATGTGTTTTCAGATATCCCAGCTGACGACCAAGTTCGGCCAGGAACAGACTGTTTATACTGTCTAATGGAACTGTCGGGCCCTTTCAATGGGGACTAACTAACACCTGTAAACAACTTGGCTACTGATGTTTGCCCATACACGTTTATAACCAGTGCAGGAATGTACAGCACATTGCGAAAAAATAGAAAGGGAGGCTTATATGTTATACCCAAAGGAGCACCTATATGTAATGATACTTGACTCCTAATTAGGAGCATTAGAAGTCTATTAGAAAATTTCCATATGTGAAAGATGCAGGTATCAGGTGAGATTGAAAATGACCAAATGCACGGCTCTGGCATAGTTACCAAGTTGATTTTAATTCAAGTATAGGTACAGTAACTCGGGAACTATCATATGTTTATAAATATCCGCGCCGAGTATCCATCCAACCATTCATTGGTACATACGTACGTACATTCATACACAAATACACATACATACACTCACATACATACAGACACACATAGACAGACACAAATCACACACACACACACAACATACATACATACATACATACATACATACATACATACATACATACATACATACATACATACATACATACATACATACATACATACATACATACATACATACATGTGTGCGTGCGTCCTTGCCTTTGTGTGTGTAATGAATAGCGTGCATGCTCCTTATGTTCCGCCCTGCAACTACATTGTATCAAGGTGCGCACAATTCGTTGTTCAAAATGCGCCTTTGTTCACTCAGCAGTGAATGAGTACCCGGAACCAGAGACGTTAACCTTCTTTCGCCCAACAAGTTGGTGCACTCCCCAAGGAGCTGAGAATGAAATCATGTGCAAAGAGATCCACCTACTGGTGTCTTAATGGCGCTGTGCTTTGAGCATGTTCCTGTGTGGTCTATAAATATAGGGCAATGTAAATGGCTTGTCGTTATCATTAAAAAGCTTTTACGTATACAAGGAAATTTGTGAACATATCTCATTAATTATAGTGACAATTTGCAACAATGTATTTACATTACATTTAAACATATATTAATGGTATATACAGATAACAGTATTTACGTAGGAGTTAAATTACAATGTGAAGCAGAGTGATTTATTCATTCATAAGATAAAGTAATGGCTTGTCTTCAAAGCAGTGATTTGCTGGGATCCAGAAGCACTCTGAATGGTTTGATAACGAGTATCACATTCCACCAGTTGACTATCGCCCATATATCCTCTCTACGCAAGAATGGTTTATATGTCTAGGTGGAATTGTGGTGGAGTGATTAACCTATATACGTCACAAGTCAGTCCGTGTGATCTACTTGAAATTTGAAAAAAAGATGATATGTCACTGTCTACACACCAGGTATGTTAACCTCAGAGTTCGGATAGATAAGATTGTCACATTAAATAGTAGTAGAGTCTGTTTTGTTGCAGCATCTGAAATTGTAATAAAAGACAACAAAGAAATAACACACGCTGGTAAATTGTCGGCGCTGAATCTTTTTGTGTGTATGCATATGAAAACGATAGCACTGTGTTTTTATACTGACGAAAGTACACCATATAGCGTACATACATCATGTAGTTCTGAGAAAAAGACAACCATTACCGCATCACAATACAAGGCCAGATAAATCATCAGAAAATATGAAAATAGGTTTCACCTGGGTGAAGGACCGACCAGTTGAAATTCTTTGAGGGTTGTGGTAGATTGGAATCAAAACAAAATAAACTCTGCTCTAAAATTTTCATTTTCCTCTTAGATTTTTCCAACAAATCCAACAGCAGACTGGACGTGTTCGATGTTATTCATAACAATCAGTGGAATTTGGGTAAGTATGATTACCTACACCCCAAGCCCCTTACGGTGAAGAAACCGTATGCTTGAAAAGAATATCTATTCTGTCTCAAAGGAAAGCATCAGCGAACACCCTTCATCCCCTCATCCCGACTCTCAGATAGTTAATAGTTCCGGAGGTATCCCTTTGGAATGAAGGCTGGCCGAAATTGGCATCTTTAATGCTTCTTCAGTGTTTAGTTGAGAAATAGCGTTAACCGCACAATGGTAGTGTTAAAGGAGGCTCGTGTGACCATATGTATAATGAAAGCTGTTGTTAATACTGACGTTCATTAACACAACATGAAACATGAGATTTTAGTCGTCATATATTTTCTCCTCTTGAAGCTGTGGAAGATTGAAATTCGGTGGACACTGATTCAAAGGGTCTCCTTGACTGTAAAGACTGATATTCCAAAGGTTCTAGAATGTCAATGTTATGTGCTCAGCAACATCGCTACCTCGAATACCACTATGACAGGTGTGTCCAGCGCTTTTTCCCGGAAGTGATCACAGCTCTATCAATATCGTAACACACCAAAACCCGTGTTAGAATAGATCTTCAGCATCCCATGCTTGAGGCGACTGACGGTCTCGGGTGGTCAGGCTCGCTGACATGGCTGACACATGTCATCGTATCCAATTGCGTGTATCGTTGCTCATGTTGTTGATCACTGGGTTGTCTGGTTCAGACTCGGTCATCTACAGACAGTCGCCATATAGACGATTAACGGTGGTCTTTTAACTCTAAGATCGCTTTGTGAAACAAGCCTTTCGGCCAAGTCGGAATCCAGTGAAATCTCCGACCTCACTGTTTTGTATAATTTTGCTTTTGTTTGTCTATCCAAGTTTGCTGGACTAAGTTACAAATGACTGAGAGTTCCAAACTGGAACGTCATCGTCTATATTACCCTAATCTGTTTAATCTTGAGGCTTAATACTCCAACAACCCTTTGTCGTCAACATTATCATGAAGCTTAACCGAGATGAATGACCATTTATGATTTTTTCACTTCCATCTGATATGATCTTGTTGATATGAATTATGCCTATGGAACCTTTTGCTGTGACGTGCAAACATAATGACGTTATTTTTCATCATCATTACGCGCTCGCGTAGAATAAACGTTTGGGTAACATTTTGAGGGATAACAATCAATAGAACTATCGATGCATTGCAGTTATCAAATGGCACTGATTGTCTATCGATATTACGTTTAATAGCAATTCTTGACATGGATACCGCTCTATGTATCGATGGTATCGATTACAGCAGGTAAATGGGAATATTGACTTTACCGTAATGATTATGCTTTCTGTAAAGAGATGATGGCTTTTGCATTGAGAAGTCGTTTAACTTTTTATGAGGCAATAATCAGAGCTGCCTACCTTAACCTTCTGATACCTTCCCAAGTATTCCACTAACCTAGATAGTCCTTGTGACGCTGACCTCCTCCGTGACCTACTGGATGGAGCGTCGGCCCTGAGAGCGGAAGGTCGGTGGTCCGATCCCCTGGCCGCCTCATACCTAAAAACGTCATAGTAAACTACGGTTATAACGAACTCAAAGGACATATAATTTTAGTCCGTTTTATTCGAAGTTCGTCTATAAGCATTTCCACTCAAATATATATGTGCCCAATATATGTCCCAAATCAGTTCGGTTTTATCCGTTCGTTAGAAACGTAGATCGTACCTGTTGTACACGATATGAAGGAGGTATAACAAGGGCTGGTCGACTCTGTCATAATTTGTTTGGATGTTGTATTCATTTTGCACTGCAAAGGGTATCTCAGAGGGAGAGCAAAACCGACTGAAGTTCTGATGGGTACAACCAGCCACAGCCACTGCCACTGCCACAACCACAGCCACTGCCACGCCACATCCCGATCCCCATCCACAGCCGCGCCACATTCACAGCCACAGCCACAGCCACGCTACGCTACGCCACGCCACGCCTCGCCACATCCACGCCACATCCACAGCCACTGCCACGCCACATGAACAGCCACGCCACATCCACATCCACAGCCACAGCCACATCCACATCCACTGCCACAGCCACATCCACATCCACTGCCACAGCCACAGCCACGCCACAGCCACTGCCACAGTCACAGCCACAGCCACAGCCACGCCACATCCACATCCACATCCACATCCACATCCACTGCCACAGCCACATCCACGCCACAGCCACTGCCACTGCCACACGCCACATCCACATCCATATCCACAGCCACTGCCACGCCACATCCACATCCACAGCCACATCCATATCCACAGCCACAGCCACGCCACGCCACATCCACATCCACGCCACAGCCACTGCCACGCCACATCCATATCCACAGCCACAGCCACGCCACGCCACATCCACATCCACGCCACAGCCACTGCCACTGCCACTGCCATGCCACATCCACATCCACATCCACATCCACATCCATATCCACATCCACATCCACATCCACAGCTACAGTCACAGAGACATTTACGTCTCCAGGTGAGATAAGTGATTTGATCTTGAACGCGGCGCTTATCCCTATTTCATCTCACCTCATTAAAATAGGTAATGGCATACATTTACATGTTATAACTAGGCATTGACATCATGTCGAATACCACAAGGGCATGATGCATTTTCCCGATCAACACAATGCCATTGCTATTGTTTTCAGCAATAGTGTTTCACCTATCCTCTTGCATATTTTTAGATGTGCCTGCATTTAACTTTTAAAAGTGATTTCGGACAGCCGATGCAAAGACCGCCAGTTGTCAACCATATATCGGTATCGAATGTGACCTTGTTTCCATTTAACAAAGGTATTTCGGTTACCTTGTGTCGCTGTTGATTAGGCACAAATGTGACACGATATGACATTTCCACCTTAATTAGCAGAAGGGTATGCAATGTGTACATGACATATACATGTACATTGTCTTGAACACCTGGCAGCATGGATAATGTTGATGCCAATTAACAAAGGTATTTCGGGCACCTACCTGTAACAGTCTCATTGACACAATTATGAAGCAATATGTCATTCTCACCTTCTGTGTGAGTACAAACTAACAGAACAGTATGTTCTGGACACATGACATAAACGTGTACATATCCTTTTACACCTGGCAGCATGAATGAAGTTGCTCCAAATTAACAAAGGTATTTCGGTTACCTACTTGTAGCAGCCTAATTGGCACAACTGTGAAGCAACATGCCATTTTCACCTTGTGTATCTACAGACACAGCAGTATATTCTTGTCACATGACATATCTATATCTACATAGCCGTCAACACCTGGTTCCTTGAATATAGTTGTTTCCAATTAACCAAAGTATTTCAGTGAGCTACATACGGCAGCAAATTTGGAACACTTTTGAAGCAACATGTTATTTTCATCTTGTGTGTGACCACAAACCAACAGAACGATAGGTTATCGAAAAAATGACAAATACATTTACATATACAGCAACACCTGGTTATAGTTGCTTCCAATTAACAAAGATATTTTGGTTGTATATAAGTAGGGACATCTGTCACAGATAACATGTGTGACGACAACACAACAGAACAGAATGTTATGGACAAATGACATATTTACATAGCTTTCAGCACCTTGTACGTGTGTATAGTTCCTTCCAATTAACAAAGGTATTTCGATGACTTACACTCCACATCTGGTTTGGAACAACTGCTACAAGATATGTGGGTATAAAATGGACAAAAATGACAAATATATCTACACAGCCAACGACACCTAGTTGCATGAATATACTTGCTTCCAATTAACAAAGGTATTTCGGTTACTTCTATTTGGCACATATGTGACACGATATGTCATAAGTATATCATATGACTACTGACCAACAGAACAGCATGTCATGGACACGTGCCATTTATTTGTACATTGCCTACAGGACCTGGGAGCATATGTACGGTTGCTTTCTTTGATGACCAAATGCAGAAGCTGTTTTGGAAAATGTCTTTTTCATTTTATGTGTGATAACAAACAAACATGCCTTGTGTGTGTGGAAACAGGACACATGACAAAACCGGGCTTCATAGCCACGTGTTGAATGATAATAGCGTGTTAATTTCTTTCTTAGTATATTTGTGTTTTATAATGATACATGCTATTGTTACGAACATCTTCAATGCTCGGATGCAGTCAACCATCAATACCTTTTGGGTAACATGAAAGCAGTTTGATTCCTTTGATAACGCTGAAATATTTTAGAGTATATTCATAAACTCTCTTCTTACTTCTTCAATGCTCAAATGCAGTCAATTATCAATGCATTTTGGGTTATATGAAATCAATGTGATTCCTTTGATAACGCTGTTATAGTTTACATCATATTCATAAACTTACACGAGTGAAATGGTATAGCTCTATTACTATCTCCATGAACCAATTTGCATTAAATGTCGTTCAATGAAGAGATCTGTGGTTTAGTATGATCTCCATATCAAAAGCTTGTAACACATCAGCGCAAGATGATAATCAGTCTTGATTATCTGCCATCAAGTATCAATGGTAAGATAATTGAGAAAATAGTATTAATGGATGACTTAAAATCAGTGATGACACGGTATTCGTCACAATGGACAATACATAAAACAAGAAGGGTATTGTTTTGTTTAACGAAACCCACGCAGTAGTACTTGCCACACTACGATGGTCCATAAACAATTCGCCTTTACCGGACAATCAAATGGAACGCAGAAGGCCCATTGAGACCAATAAGTTGCGTGTTTCTCAGCCTAATGGATCAAAATTACATTACCATAGTTTATCAAATACTGATTAGATTTGACACTCTACCGATCACCCGTGAACCTTGCAAATACATAATACGAGTAGTAAATTTCAAATCAATTACGATAATAAACTCTACCAAGTGAGTAATTGCATGAATCAGGACAGCTGGTAAAACGCTGGCTAATAAAAGATCATGCAATAGATTATATTTGCACAATATGACGTTCAACCTTGCTAAGTGATCTGAGACTGTTTTATTGGGATGTTATTGTAAACGTGGGAAGTCGTTTTGATTTGGGCAACACAATGCGTAATGGTAGAGTGATTTCTGTATGCGATGACTAAAGCAATATGCTTGTTATGATAATGTGTAATAACAACTGAAATTTTCTCTAATGGTAATTCGGTTATGGTCGTTTGTGCTGACAATGGGGATTTGGTTATTAAATTCAATATCTGACAGGAGTCTACATATAAATCTTCATTACAAATGTATGCTCCTTTATCTAATGACTTTATTGTACTCTTCTTTACATACATATAAAAGGGACATTATTTCTGTTAATCAATAGTGTCTATCATGTTGTAGTTCTATGGTCTAGCACTGTTTGAAAACGAACGGGATCACATATTGAACGGCAAAAATAATAACGATTTGTTTTTCCAAACAATTATTGTAGGGACCGCCAACGTATACTACTAAAAGAAGTTAAGGGACTCGTGACATGAAAGATTAACCACAGTCCTATGAGAATACGGGTGTTCATGACAGAGTATCATTTGAAAGCAATAGGTCTTCTTAACATTTGGATATATTATATCAAAATATATATTTGGTTTAGAAATACAGATACATATCTGATGCAAATAACTGCTACTTGGAATGTAATGTACATGACCCCCATAAGCTAACACTGGGAATCATCATGTGATGTGAAGAACTGCTTGAAACAAAACGTAGGGAACAATGCCTTCCAACGACGTTCCTACCAATTACATAAACAGCTTAGGGTTATCAACGTATGAAACGTCTGTTGATCCAGTTAAAACAATTTATCAGGAAATCATTTCTGTTCAAGGAATTCGGATTGCTGTTTCACAATTACCAAAATCTCCGAAAGTATATCCATCATCCCCTGAACAATATACCCCGAGAAACTGACACGTCTTCTGAGCAAAATCAAATGATATAAACAAAAGATGCCTGATAATGTGTTTCTGAAAGATTTCGTTCTGAGCCCAAGAAACATCAAATCGACACTGCCTTCCATTTTGGTGATCCAGCTTTAGTATCAGAGTCGATATATGGCCCTGAAATCGATGTAGCTGTCAACCTGTTTGATGAATGTCCACATTTCGAACTAACGTGATTATTGTTTATTCGACGTTGAGCTTATCGGTTTCTTATACAGCTTTCACTGTCACATGTTACGTCTGTACTTAACACTTATTTTTTAAATATTTTAAATCCATGGTAGTGATCCCTAACACTATCGTGGATGGAGAACAAAATACGACTGATTGTATTTATGGTCACTGGAAACAGAACGGAAAAACAGAAGGCATAATGCAGCTGTTAGTATGCGCTGTGGACTTCTGAACAAAGTCCTATCGGTATTGGAATTCTTGGTCATGTTTCTTTCAGAGCTTGGCATGAACCAGGGTTCTTTGACGTGTTTCGGTCCTCAACACGACATCAAAGAAACGTGACCCACAAGCTCCACATTTATTGCCTGCGTTGCCAAGCAAAGGGAATCGTGT